CGGGGGCTGCCGGCCTGCAGCGGCCGCCGCCTCCCCGGCCCCGCCGCCTCCCCAGCCACTTGCCCCCGCGTCGGTCCCCCATTCCGGGTCTTCCCCGAATCCCCCACCGAGCCTTTGCTTCCTTCCTCTCCCTGGCCTTCCCTGTGTCCTGCACTGAACCTCTTGTTCCCCCCAGCCCCCATTTCTGGGTATTTCCGCAAGTCTCTCACCGAGTTTGCTGCTCCCTCTGTGGGCCTTTCCCGTGACCCGCACTGTGCCCCTTGCTCCCCCTCCCCAGGCGCTTCCTCCGGCCTGCGCTGAGCCTGCTGGGCATCCACCGCAGCCCCCCAATATCAGGCTGCTCCCCTCTCAGCCCCCATCTCTGGCCGTTGACACTGCAGGGTGGGGGTATGCTGCTAGAAGTTTGAGGGATTTGCTTTCCTTGGACCTTGTGGCATTCCCAAAACAATTTTTAGCACTGATTCCTGTATTCCTACTTGCCACCATGCAATGTATTTTTTGTAGCAGTCCAGTGCTCTGAGCTGACGGGTGAACTCTGCCATCTCCTCCCGTATCTGCAGGGAGGCGGTCAGCTCGCACCAGGTCTCTCAACTGCTATTTTTCTGGACGTGGGAGGGAGGTGGAGAATTCTGCCTCAGTCCTCACTGAGTGTCCAGGAGAGCAGCTAACCAGAGGGCCTGGGAGCCCTTGTGAGGTCTGATAACTGCCAGGCATTTATCGTGAGAAAAATCATCATTCTAGCAGTTTAAGAACTGTTTATGTTTTGTGCAAAATCATAGTTACTGTAAGTCATTTTTATGTTTGTTGCATTCTCTTTTAATGAGACTGAAATTTACTACAGATAGTGTTGCTTTTTTCCAGGCAGCTTCCCAGGAAGCAGCAAGAGGCAGTCCATATGTCTGCGATACCCAAGATAGCACTTGTTTTAACTCTATTTGGTTATTTATGCCTTGTTTTAAAGGTCTCAAGTTCCTTCTTTTCAATGCCAGGACAGAAATGGAAGCTATTAATTAATCCTGTAGGCTCATTCTCCCTCTGCTCAAGCATGTCATTTTAGTGGTTTAAAACAAGATCAGTGCTATGTCTGCCTTTCTAACATGCTGGTGTGCTCAGTTCACAGGTTAGTTACCTACATCTTTGTCTATGAAGACCTGATATCCTTGACCTGTGGTGCTATTATCATTTGGTATTTTGCTGGCAGCTTTGAGAAGAACGTTGGCACTGTGAAGCACTGCTTCCTCACCATGGTGTTTGCTGTCCTCTCCGCCCTCATGTACCTCTTACTTGAGACTGTTGTCTCATGGGTGACAGAGGTGGAAGATGCCAAAGGGTTCATGCCAGTAGCTTTTGCTACGCTGGGTGTATCTACCACCCGCTCGCGAATGAAGAGGACTCTGCTTTTTGGCGTTAGAGTTCCAGTGGTGCTGGTGCCGTGGTTTATGCTCTGCATAGCATGGTTTATCCCCCACTCTTCTCTCTTGAGTAACCTGTGTGGGCTCCTAGCTGGGGAAGCCTGTATCCTTTCTGTGTGTGAAGCCCTGAACTGGGGAGGGATCACTGGTTCATAAGGGGGAGGTCGTGCTGTGGTTCTGGTTGCTGAGATGCACTGCCTTTATTTATGGTGTTTCCTGGGCTCTTGCTCTGCATTAAATTCTTACTGGCCTTGCCAGTCCTCATCACACCCAGTTCAACATTTGTTTTTTACCTCATGCTTCCACTTCCTCTGTGGCTTTAGCACACACAAGGGAACATGTTACTGAGAAGGGCGATGGTCTGTGAAGATGGCACTGGGTAGAACTGGGAGAATTCTCCAGCGAAGGTAGTTTGTGGCCAGGAGGGGATTGGTTTTGGCTCTGTTAGAAATGAATGTGTTTTGTCTGCAGTCCTCCTTAATGTGCTGCTGATTTCAGATGGTCTTGGCTACTGTTTCTGCTTGGATTTTCCAGAGTCAGTGGGCTCTAAGCTGGACCAGGTGTTCCCTTTCAGCCTGCTAAGGAGGATACCAGGGCTGAAATATATCCCAGGGTCCTTAGCAGAGAGAAGAGCCTTTGAAAGCAGCAAGTAAGTACAGGAGTTCCTGTGAAAGATATTATGATATAGGTGAATTTTGAGGTGTAAGTGGAGGCATTAAATCACCTTTAAAAGCTGTATTGTGCTTGTTGTGTCCATATCCTGGGTGTTAGGGGGAACATACTGACCTACTGATGTTACTCTGGTGACATTACTGTGATTAATACATTATCACACATTAACTCAACTAGGTCCTTCAGTGAAAGCTAAATTGAGGTGAAAGACCTGTCATTTGCTGCAAGGGCAGTGTGTATGTGAAAAGTAAGTTATGTAGTCATGCCCTAACGGCATTTTCCTGGGGCGTGATCTTTATCTTTCTTTGCCCCACCTCACCTCCCAGGAATGCGGTGAAGTGAGTTGTGTCCAAATCTATGTAGGAGCAGAGCATTATAAATTAAAGATATCACTTAGGAAGTTCAATGTAGACCTTTCAATGCATGTTTTCAGAGTTAAGGCGAGATTGCTTTCCCAAAAAGAAACCTTGGGGCCTGTGGCTGACATTCAGGAATGGCTTTAAGTTTCTGTATCTCACAAGCCATGAGAATTCAGTTGAAAAAGCTTGGAAATGTAGGTCAAATTTTTCCTTATTCTAAGATGTCATCTCAGTTTCACAGAGGAAGAATAGTTTTCTATTAAGGGTTAAAATCTATGTATTGTTTAAGCCATCAGCTCACTGTAAAGGGTTCTTTGAAGTGGAAACATTCCCAAGTGTTTGCATCTGCCCTCACCCCTGGGGAAACCATAAAACAAACCTTGCCTGCAGCGGGACTGTACCCCAGATCCATTAGGGCACTCAGACGTGTGAGTGCTTGAAGGAGAGGCCAGGCAAATCCAGAAGCATTTGTGTTTTTGCTGTCTCCTTTCTGTGTAAGTGCTGCTTTTGGGAGGAGGAACTGTCTCACTGCATGCTGAACCTCTGTCTGCATCAGTCCAGTGCTTCTGCTAATAACTTCTGTGCACAGCATCTCAGCTCTGTGTCTAAACCTGCTTATCTTTAGGTGAGATGACATAAATAGACTGTTCTGTCTCAAAGGTATTTACATAAACATTTGACTATCAAGCAGGGCGTGGGAAGGTGTTTCTAGGATGTTTCCATTTCTGCAGCTAAATTTGCATGTTTGTGTCTAAGACACAAGTTCTATATGGGCTTCTGGGGCTTAACTTTTATTATTTTGATTCTTATTCCCAGGTAAGACCCCTTGATAGTTTGCGTTTGGAGGTTTTTTTAAAGTTTTTGTAATACTTAAGGCATCAACTTGCCACCAGACCGGAGCCATTTCTAGGAGGTCCAGGCTTTGGCATCATGTTTGTGTCCAGAAATAAAAACAACCCGAAACCAAAACAAAACTTCAAACAAAACCCAAAACCAAACTCACACCCCAAACAAAAAAATAAATCCAAGCCCAAAAATGAGCCCGTCTCTCATTCTTGCTGGGAATCTGGCAGTCATGGTCTTCATGAATATTGTCTTGATTCTCAGCACTCGTGTTGTGCGTGGGCTGAACAGTACTCCTGAAGTCCCAGAGGCTTTGGCTTCTAGGCAGATTATGTCTCTCTTGATATGTTTCATTGGGATGAGTCATGCCTTCTGTTGGCAAAAGCTGTTTCTAGACCTTGCTTCTGAATGATTAATTTATTGGTAACTCTCCTCCTTCCCTTTTCGCTCTATACCCTGGGCTCTTACTCTCACCAAAGGCCTTTATGGCTTCATGATAAATAACACTTGGCAGCTGTGGCTTCTCCTGATTAATAACTTAACAGATGTCTCGTTCAGTGGAAGGGAAGGAGGATGCACACAGAAATCTTAAAGCATATTGCAGTTTGGCATGTGTATTCCTTGCACAAAGAGACTCAGGGCCAAGAAACACACTCATTCAGTGGGTGTGGAATTGGTGTGGGTTGGGAGTGGGAACATCTGTCCTGGGAGGCCAGTAAACCTGTATTTAATCAAGTGCAGTTTGTAATAAAAGCTTCTTTTGTGGCGGTGAATCTCTCTGATGAATCGCAGTGACCTTTCTGAGCGCTGGTCAGGAGGAAATCTGCCCCCAGGGCACTTCCAGCTCTAATTAGGCAATGCCAGTTCTGAACAGAGTGTAACCTTCTGTTTTCTTCCTGCCCAGGATTAACCCAACACCAGGCACCTACCCCACCCAAAACTACTCCTGCTCTTCGCTTCCAGCTCTCCCTGCTTTCCAGCTGCAGCACCCCAGTGCTCAGAGCCGGGGGTTTCAGCACCCCTGCGCTCCGGAACCCGGCTGTGCCCTGGGACACGAGGGATCTTGGCACGGCCATGCTGCAGGACACAGCCTCACTTCTTCCCCCTGCCAGGCCAGAGATGCCTTTGGAGGGTGTTACATGCAGGTCCACGCTGGAGCCTTGCCAGGACAGTGCTACCAGGGCAAGTTCTCCTCCCTACAGCATGTGTGCCCGACTGATCCACAGACACCTGCAGGTGAGGGCCCCCTGGCTGGGGCTCAGCAAGCATCAGGGTATCCAGCAGCCACAGTGACTTCTGTTTCAGCTGAATTTTCCGGAGTCCAGGTGTACTGATCCTCCAGAAAAGAGCAGGACTCTCGTACTGTGGCAGGACCATCGTGTGATGCTCATGCAGCAGTGCACTGCTGGCATCTTTGCTGTCTGGGGTGACCGATTAGTGGAATGGGTTGGTAGCTCCTCTGTAGGCCGTTCGCCTGCTCCCTGGCACCCTTTATATTCTACTTTTTAAACTTTTTTTAAATTGCTGGAGGATGGGAACTGTATACTTCTGGAGTCTGTTTTCATTGCTGTATGTAGCAGCTGACTTTTTTCAAACTGCCACTAGAGGTACAGTGCGTCAGCCCTCGACTCAGGCTAGGAACCTAATTGTCAAAACACTGGACTAATCTGGGGTTTAACTAGGTTGCAGCAATAAGGACATGTCTCATCTATACTGAGGCTCTTGGACTCCTCTTGTTTACAAGTTTGATGTAGCTAGGACCCAAGAGGTTGAAATAATGGAGGCCTTTGCTTATAACTTAATATTTGAGTGGACGAGGACAGATGTCTGTTCTACTAGAGACTTCTCCACTAAGAGAAAGCCTTGAAGGGGGCTTGTTAAACCAGGGCTGGGGCAAGAGGGCAGAATACAGAACACCCTTTTCTGCCCCCAAAACACAGCTCTAAAATGCACAGAAGCCAAAACGTCTTGCTAACAATTTTTTTTCCTCTTCATCATGCTTTTCATCTTGCTAAATATTTTTTTTTACTAAGAATAGATCCGGGGCACACTCACCTTTGTGAAACTATTCGTGTGTGTGCCCAGCACTGCAATAAAGAATGCCTTGCTTTTTAAAACTCCAGAGTGAGTCTTAGAGAGTTCCTCTGCCAGCTTTTACAGTAACATGCTGAAGGTCCTTCTTAGCTGCGGTCTATGCGTGCAGCAACACGTTGCCTTCATTTTCTGATAGCCTTGCACTAGCTCAACCTGTGTTGCCAGAACTTGTCTGTTAGGTACCCTCACATGCATGTAAAGCAGTAGTAGACTCTTCCATAAGGGATTTGGGCCATTTGTGGAGCAAATGTGTATCAATCCATGGAGCTGGGAGGGACCTTAACAGTGGGTTAGAAGAATTGACTGGAATGTAGCAATGTTGAGGGTGTTCACACTGCTCAGCCTCAGATGTCTCACCCACCAGTATTAGCACAATCTCTCTCTGTTTTCTTCAGAGCTGGTGGAAAGGCATGTGGGAGAGGGGAGGTTTCAGCAAGGGATTCAGAGCAGGATGCGGTGTTTGTGCCTGTGGCTGTAATGAAGGAATCAGGTCGAGTTGGTGGGACTTGAGCTTTGTTTCCAGCTGTGTAGCTGCTTTACTGTGCCATGCCCAGGAGGAATCTGCTGTCTCTGTGTCTGCAAATCAGCCAGGATCTCAGCTATTGCCCTTGACTCTTTGCTTAGAATTTTGTTGTGCTCAAAAAAAAAAAGTGCTACACGAAGCACAGAGTGCCATCACTGCTCTTGTTCTTGCAGTACCCTGTCCCGCAGAAACTGTGATAGCCTTGGGCTCTTCCATGCTCTTAGTGAGCCAGGGTCACGGGCAGCATTGGCAGCTGCATGCTCCAGAGCATGTACGTGCCTCTTTCTTTTTTTCCTCTCTTCTGTGTCTGAAGGAGCCTCGAGTTGCCGGACAGCTGCTTCTCCAGCAGCTCTTCTGGGCTGACCACCACAGTTACGTGTGGCCTCGCAGGGGCTTGCTTTGGGGGAACACCAGAGTGCTGAGGACTTAAACCTCAGCTGCACGTTAGTAAGAAGCTCTGCTGGCAAAGGCAGGCACCCCTGGGTGGGGGCTTTCTGCAGGAGGATGCAGCAGATTGGGAATCAGCCCGGAGCTGGTGATTGTTTCACTCCTCTATGGGATCACAAATGCACTTGCCTTCATGGGCCTGTTTTTCCTGAACTACTGACAGCAGTTGCATTGTTAGATGCTTAGTGTGGAGCAAGAACAGGGTAAGGTGCTTGTTTGGAACTTAAAATCATGTTTTTAATACTGGGAAAGATATGCTAGAGAAAACATTGACATGTTGATACTGTACTCTCATTAGTGCCTTGATTTTCTTCAGTTGTGGTTTATAACCCCAGACAGCAACTAAGCACCACACAGCTGCTTGCTCACTCCTCTTCCCTCCCAGTGAGATGGGGAGGAGACTTGGGAAAAAAAAAAAGTAAATCTCATGGGTTGAGATAAGAACAATTTAATAACTAAAAAAAAAAAAAAATAAAAAATAAATTAAAAGAAATATAATTTTTTAAAAGGAGATAAATAAACCCAAGAAAAGACAAGTGATGGATGCACAATGCAATTGCTCACCACCTGATGCCCAAGCAGTGATCTGCCCTCCCAGCCAAGGGAGGGGGGTGTTTATATACTGGGCATGATGTCCTATGTATGGAATAGCCCTCTGGCTAGTTCGGGTCAGCTGTCCTGGCCATGCTCCCTCCCAGTTTCTTGTGTGCTTGCTTGCTGACAGAGCATGGGAAACTGAAAAATCCTTAACTTGGGATAAATGCTACTTAGCATCAACTAAAACATCAGTATAATCAATAATATCAATATTATTCTCCCACTAAATCCAAAACACAGCACTGTATCAGCTAATAGGAAGAAAATTAACTCTATATCAGCTGAAACCAGGATATCTTCCTTGTGAGATCCTCATCTATAAACCGAAGAATTTTATCACTTCTTTTTTTCCCAGAAACGTGCAGAAGGGTGATGAGGACTGGTAGCAATGACAAATGTTGTATACCTGCAAACTGTAAGCTTGAAATACAATCTGAAAGACAAACTGCTGTGTCTCCTGGTTTGCTTTCAAGTGGGGAGCTGGAGTGTGCCCCTCCAGGTGCTGGGCTGGGTGTGATGGGGGCTGCGGGTGCCTGCTGGCTGCTGGTGACAAAGGACGTGCTCTGGGCATGAGGGGTACTGCGTATTGGAAAACTCTCATGGGGCTGGAAGCTGGTTACTTTTCCTTTCCAACTCTTATCAGTTGATGTGGTAAGAGATTCACTCTCCCCACAGAGCTGTCAAAGGGAGGGTGTGTTTCCAGTGAGTAGTTTCCCAGCTTTCCATTGGTAAAGGGTTCCCTGGCCTGTAAGAGGCACCATAGTGTCGCTGCCGGCAGCGAGAACAGCCCCAAGTCTGGCTGGTGTAGGGAACAGGCAGCAAACCTTCTTCTGACCCCCCTTGGCCCTGGCAGCAGGGGGACGTGCCCATGCACGAGGGAGCAGGTACCAGCCATTAACCTTTCTGTGCTGGGACAAGGTGACTGCCTCAGCCTTGCAGGTGGGGCCTGGGGATGGGACATGGTGGGATGGGCACAAAACCACAGTTTGGGGTATTTTTCTTCTGCTCCCAGGTGTGTTATGAGCTTCTCAGTGACCTTGGCAGATCACTTGGTCTCTGTGATCTTTACAGCTTCCACCATGTCCCTGAGGCTGCTCTGAGTGCAGCTGTACCACCACCCTGGTACCCACCTGTCACTTGAAATGTGCTGTTGCTGTGTTCAGTGGCCTTCAGATGGATGTCTGCAAAGATAAAAGATGGTTTCTGCAAGGTCTGTTCCCTGCCTTCCCCGAATCCAGCCATTTCACAGTGAAAGGCTCTCATATAAATCAGCTGAGAACCTTCTGCTTCTCTAGTGGTGTCCAACCAACTCCCAGCTCTCCAGGACTGGTGGCAAACTTGGTGTAACTCCTTGCCCAGGGAAGGGGAGTTGCTGGGAGGGAGGGAAGGGGTCCGGATGAGAAACATGTCTAAAGCTGAAAAGAGGAATTAAATTTGTAAGAGAGGGAGGTAAAAGCCGTCAGCTTATTGGGCTTTGGCATTTGCTTAACTAAGCTCACAGCATTACTGATCACACATTGCAATACCAGGTTATTTCCTTGGAGGGGAGACAGAGAATTAAAGTTTCTAAGGCAGAAGGATTAAAAAAAAAAAATCAAAAAAAACCCCAACAAAAACCCAGTTCAGCCTGGGGTGGCTGCCCCTGGGGAACATGCTGTCCCTGAAGTGCTGTTATTTTGTGCTTCTGGTGCAGTCCTAGTAAAGCTGCCACTTTTTTGAAGGTCAGGATTGCTTCTGCCCTGGAGGCAGGGTGCACAGTGACTCCAGAAAGCCCCCTTGGCCTGTCCCTTTTTTTCATGGGAGGTCACTGAAGACTGATGAGATTCTGGGAACAAGCGCTGGGAGCTGGGCTGGCCCTTCCCCTGCGCTCAGGGCAGCAGTCCTGCTGTGACACCCCCTTCCTGCTGTGGGATGGATGCACCAGGAGAGACCAGGAGCTTCTTCCCCTCCGCTCTTCCACACCCACCATGGAGTGAGATAAAAAGGAATTGGGGGTATGTGGGGAAGGAGAACCAACTCTGAGCTACGTTACCACCCCAGCTGGGAGCAAGGGCAGGTCTTTGCAGTGTGGGGAGGCCCAGCAGGAGACACCGATGTCAGAAGAAAAATGGGTTTGTATTCACTTTCTTGTCGCTCATTCATCTATGGCAAAGCAGACACGGGCAGTTATCCTGCACTGGGGGCTGGAATAGCTGTGCCAGAGCCAGGATGCTGCTGGTTGCCACCTCTGCAGCTCTCCCACTAGGTCCCAGCTCGTTTGCTGGCACTGTGGAGGCTCCACGGCCAAAAGTTCAGCTCCAGCCTGTGCTGGGGATGGAGGAGAGCTGAAGAGGTGTGAGCTTGCACACTCCCTGTGGTGGGTGGAAGAAATATGCATGGAGACAAAGCATGGACCCAACAGGTCCCTGCAGGCTGGCTGGGCTTCCTCATCCACCCAGGGAGTTTGGGCTGGGTGTGATGAGAGCTCAGTCCCTTCCCCCTGGGAACAGGACAGGACAGGACAGGCTGTGTTGTAATGCCTGTCCCCGCTCCAGGCACTCAATGGGCATGATGAGCCCAAACCAAGATCCAGCCCTGTCCTGCCATCCCCTCGGGGCTGGTACAGGTGTGTCCTGGCCCTTGTGATCTTTAACCCGCGGCCGTTCAACCCGCAGGGGCCGGTCATGGACTGGAGTCACCCTGGGGAGCTTCTGTGGGGCTGATCCCAGAGCTGACGCAGGTGGCAGCGGTGCCCGGGCGGCCCTGCACCCCTGAACCCTCTGCTCAGATGCCGTCATGAAAGGGGGTGTCCCCGCAGTCCTGGGCATCACTGCCTCAGAGCCGGTGCTTTCCAGGTGAGTGTCCCCTCCTGCCCCTCGTGTGCCTGCTGGCCCCAGCTCAGCCAGTGCAGACCTTGCACCTTCCCCGAGGGTTTTATTGACTGAAGTGAGTGTCAACACAGTGATAGTGGCAGGGCCATGGCCTCAGCTGTGCCAGCACCTGGCTGGCCAAGGGAGGGAACCAGCCCCATGGTGACCCCACGTGTGATGCTGGGGGCCAGTACCAGGCCGTGGGGCTGCTCGGTGGGGGTCAGGCAAGCTGTGTTCCTGGCTTTGGCCAGGCTGGGCTTGGCAGAGTTGTGACCCAGGTTCACAAAAAACAGCAAAGATGAGAGCAGCAGTCCCTACATGCCCGCAGGAGGCAGGATCTGGGAGTTCAGGTTGCAAAACCTCTTCAGCCAGGACCGCTGGGGACGTTTCCAGAGCTGTTTGTGCAACACCCTGGTGGCGGCAGTGCGAGTGTTAGAGGAGAGAGGCCTCCTGGAAACATCCAAGTCATCTCATCTGCGGTTAAATCAGGAGCGTTTGCCTGCTCTGGCTGAAGGCTGGGCAGCGGAGCAGCCCCTCATTTCCCAGGGAGGGGTGACCTGCCTCTGGGTGCCAGCCCCCCC